CACCTGGAATGTTCTCTCCAACCTTCACTCGTCCTTCAAGTCCCCCAAATTCATCCGACGTCTCCACCATGGAAAACTCCAACACCAGGAAATAAACTTCACTCTTCCCCTTTCTTCACACTTTGTAAATAATTGCCTAGATGCACCAGTCATGCTGTATTATAATCAGCCTAACCTTATCACCGGCAGCTAGCCCAACTTGACATCTTGCAAATAAGAGGCTCAGTGTTTGCTGAACTGAGGAAGCCCGCACGCGCTAACAGCGAGCAGTACTGCAGGCCTGCAAATACCAACCCAAAGTCCTATAAACTAATGAGCAAGAAAACGAACCACCGAGCAATTCCATGCAGAGGCGTTCAGCACGCACAGGAGCGCTGCCTTCCCGTAGCCATGTGCTAGGTGGGGGCTCACGCTACTGCGGTGCGCAGACTGCAACATGCAAGTGTACCAAACCCGCCCTTGTAACACCTTCATCCTACACAATGTGTTTCAACTCTACTTCCATTTAAAACAATGTCCTGACATCCCTGTGTGCTCTCCTTCTCCCCCGAGACCGCAGCCCCGACTCACACGCCCCACGCCAGGTGCTCCCGGAGAAAGGGCTGCACTGTGTCCTGCGCGGGCGCAGGCGAGGGCCCGCTGAGCAGGTTCCCCGCCGCCCGCAGCCTGCACCTACACTTTGGGGGGCAGCACCCTTAGAGGTGCGTCTGCATGCCCCCGTTCATCCCGGGCCTCCCGAGCCGGTCCGAGTGCAAGCACAGAGTAAATAATTTAATAAATCGCGGACACACTGCGGCTTGTTGTGCTCCGCGCCAGCGGAACCCTGGCTTGCGCCAACGGCTCGCCAGGATGCCCGGTGGCCGGGAGCCCGAGCGGGAGATGGAGGTCCCCGTGTTAGTGGCCAGTGCACGGGCTTCCTTGCGCGGGAGAAGCACCCCTGCTTTTCTGAGCAGAGGGTCCCTGGAGGGGTACCCCTCCAGGCCTCGCGGCCCCGCAGCGGCCGCCCTGGGGTCCCCCGGGGCGGGGCCGCGCAGCGCAGGCCGGC